TCTTTGTCTGGTATTAAAATCAGAAACATAAAAAATAAAAACAAGTCTATGGTGCAAATATTTATTCACAACACTTCATACATTTTGCCTTAAAAGAAGAAGGATAACTCTATTACAGACATTAATATACATTTTTAAAATTTTAATAAAAATGTAACTAAAGCTACATTTAAGTAATTCTCCATGTTTGGTGTCTGGAGTTTAAGGTAGACAATTTTTACTTTTCATCTTCATTACTGTGTCTCGATGTATCAATTATGTATTCATTATCTGTATTCATTCATAAATGTGATTTCCTTTTGCTTCTACAGTCCTGAGTTGATGAGCTGGAAACAATAAAAGCAGTGGCTACAGTGCTGCAGAGCAAGTGCATACACAGACAAGCTCCAGAAAAGACAGACAGACTGACACAGAAGTAAACCTGCAGGAACATCCTATGGTGGCTGTCTGCTCTAGAGCTGCAGTGTATGAAAGCAAGCAGTGTGGCCTAAATTACAATGACACTGACATATATTGTACAGTAAACATGGTGGTGTCTATGCTCTGCAAGGTAGTTGAGTGGCATGTTTTATATTATCAGTCAAGTAGCGTGGACAATGGTTCACGTCATGTGTTTTTGTATGGAAAACAACACAGATAAATCTAGATATTTTACTCTATAAAAATTATGCGTCAATGTCCGGTCAAGACAGAATAATTGTCTTTTAATATTTTCTGTGGTAATTAACCGGAATGAGAAAAAGAATTGAATAAAAACAAAACACAAACATATCGTTATAAAGTTGTGACTCAAATTTATTTTTATGCTAAAACTGCTTTAATTTCTGTTACTTGTTCTGTTGTTGCAGCCTTCATTAAAGGGATCATTTGATCTTTTCAAAGTGAAGCTTTGCAAATTTTTTTTATTTTATTTTATTAGTATTAGGTAATCAGACTCGACTCCTGTTTTAGTTGATCTTACAGTGAACTGAATTTTAAACAACTCAAACTGAAAGTGTTGATAACAATGGGAAACACCTACACTTTATTGTGCAGGTGTTTCATATCAACTGAAGTATTGTGTCTGAAGGAAACATTCACACCTTAAGTTATTCCGAATGAACCCATATGACTACCTGGTGGCTTTGCACCATTCTTAGAGTTTCTTCACTTTCCTATAAACTTCAGTTTGTCACCTTTTTCCAGCAGGCATTTTTTTTTCTGAACCTCCGTTTAAAAAAACCAAACTGCCGTTTAAGATATTAAACTATGCAGAGATCTCAGAGTCAGAATAGTTATAGCACAGTGATGCCCAGTGTAAAAATGATTAATCAAGCTTTATTGGGGTAATGAGAATGCAGTCTTGGCCACTGTTCACTATAAAGAATACCATGGGTCATTTCTTTCAGTAACCTTGTAGGCATAGAAATGTACCTCTTCCTGCAGAAACTTCATTAGCAGATACAGATCCAGAAGCTCTGGGCATAGCTTTATCTCATAGTATGCCAGCAATAGAACTTTATCTCAAAACTTTATTTTTTGTTTTTGTTTCTCTGCAAGTGTGACTGCCACTCAAAAAGTAATTCTTTTTACCATTTTTTATAGGAAAAGCATGCACTATTGGTTCTTGGAAGATGCATCTTTCACAACAGGTTGCTCAAGTCTTATCAGTAACACCCACTAGCTGAGTATCAAAAAAAGGAGGAGTAAAACATGAAAACAAATTAGTGGGAATTTGTGTGCATACTGCAAAACCTAATACCAATCTTTTTTGCAGAGCAGATAACAAACTGGGTGCCATTTCTTTGAGGTGTTGAGGCAATAATATTAATATAAGTGAGTGAATGAAGGAGGAGGGGGAGACAGAAGATGGCAGTAAGGATGGTTCCTTTGTAACAATCCAAGATCCAGTACAATTTAAAGAGAAAACTGTGACTCAGCTGTTGGACTTCAGTCAGCAGCTACTCGAGAGAGAGAAAAAAAAAGGATCATATTAACCCTACTGTTGTCAAGGGAGGGCTTTCTATGTGCTTGTTTTTAATAGTGAACATGACTTATTTCAGCATATCGTGCCTGACAGTGGTGGAGGACAGTCAGATCAGCCAATGGACAGTATTATGGTATTCCCAGACTTTACTCTCTTTTAGCTGTTACACAGAAGAAGAGGAGTAAAAAAAAAAACATTTGAAGAAAATAAATAGTTATCAATTTTTCCATGTATATCTGGTAATAAAACACATGGAAGGCCTCATAAACAGATAGAAGCCTCTTGTGGGATTCCTAGCAGAGACAGAGCCACGTTGTGCTGGGAAAAAAAATAAAAAAATAATCTGAGTCTGCTGTTTTTGTCAACCCACACACATTGAGACATCCAAGAACATCAAATTTGGCCAAAGCAAAGAGCTGCATGGCTAGTGACTGAGTTCAAAGAGATATTAATGAAAACGAGGAAACGCTTGAGTCTTGACTGCATGTAGTGGTTCACCTGCTCCAGATGAAAACACTAGCTCATTTTTTCCCTTCTATTTAGACCAAAGCAAAGCTTGAGAATCGCTTGCCAATAGTTTATTTGTTTTGAACATATGTGCAAAACACACCCCTTTTTGCAAATGATGCTGGAGAAAGCTGCTAATTACTGGGCATGGTTGTTCTGCTGTACCAGCATATAAGATATTTTTTAAAAACAAAACACAAGTTGTATACAGAGGGGCACATTCACATTTGCTGCCAGTCCATGTAACTATATAATAAGTTTTAAAAAACTGTATGTTATCGTAGCAGGAAAAATTATAACATTTCAATCTTTAACTTAAGTACATTCATGAAGTGGTGGTGTTGGCATTGTGGGGTTAGATGGCTCATCTGCATCTGTATAACTAAAAGATATAATAATATTTTAATTTTATAATTTAGTCAGAAGTTAAAATGTTTTGTTATATAGATTCATAACAGATAGAGAAATTTTTCATGACTTTATTTCTTGTAAACCCAAATCTGAGTGTCATAAATAATTTCAATAGGTATTGTTACCTGTAGCAACGCCGTGGAAACAGATGAAATGTAAACATCTTTCTTACTTTATGCTTCAGTTTTGATTAAGTTAATGAGATAGGAACTCTTAACCAGCAGCTTAAACTTCTGCTTCCATGGGGTATTAATACGACATGACACAAAGGTCACTTTTCTCTGGCCACCCAAAACCGTGAAAACAAAATCACTTTTTTGAGAGAGCTGTGGCACAGAGTGACATCTTGAGGTAACTAAATCTGCATCACAACCATCTGATTGAATTTGCATGCCAACACATTTTTTCAGAAGAATTCTTCAGAGATTTGATCATATTTTTTTAAACTCTCCACCATAGAAACATAATTTTGTTGTATAGTGTACAATGACAAAAAATGAATTGACTGAATATTAACAATATTTTGGGGTAGATCTAAGAATTCTCTTTTCATATTTATGAAGATAGCAAAGGTTCACAAATCAAATCACAGATTGCCCAGATTTGTACATAAGTCCAGATTTGTCAAATGCATATCAGTTTTTATGCCTGTTTCATTTTAAAGTGAGTCTAATCATTACTAAGCAAAAATCACTACTATTTTTTTTTTCCTTTTCTATTCACAGAAATAAAATAAGGATTTGGTAATTACCTATTTGTTTTAAGGAGTCAGTTACATATAGAATTGTCAAGTTCACATCTCATTAGTCTAGGGGTCTTAGTTTTTAAAGGTTTGTGGGTGTAACCCCCCCCCCCCAAAAAAACACGTACAAACTTGACATCATGCACAAACCTGATCTACAAACAACACACAAACAGGATTGCAAAATGAGGAGAATCGCCAGTACAATTGATCTAGTGTGTGTCCGCCTTCATGAATATGCAAAGCATACATTGCGCTTTCTGATCATCAGAAATATCAATGCATGTTTTGCATACTGGGAAGAGGATATGCAAATGTAATGACTTACCATCCGTGATGCCATTAACTAAACCTAAACAAGTTTGCTAGATGCTGTTTTTGCATCTTTATTTGACCCACAAAGATATGTGCGGTGACAATGCACTTGCTCTTTTTTCTTCTTGATGCAATTCATTGTGGAATCTTTGTAAATCAACTACTTAGCATTTCAATTTTTGAACAAAAGACAAATGAATTTAAGACTCATTAAAACTGAAAAGCAGCCTTTTGGTTCAGCACAACTTGAAAGCTTTGAAGCAAACAGCTTTGGCATTGTTACTGGGATAATAGTAAAGCAGTTGCAGTATCCCTATAGTATATACAAATCATACACATCTTGCCTGTTAGTCTAATTTTTTAATACTCTGATTACCCAAAATGCTTCTGGAAAAAACAATTTAATTAGATTTAGGAATTCACCAACACTCCAAGCGTGATTGGCAGTTTATGAGCAGACTCTGTCAACTTAATTTTATTATTTCAAAATAAAAATCTCAAACTTAGTCATAACAAGTGGTCAGGCGAAAGGCACCAATCTTCATATTCAGAGCTAACAATAAAAGCTAACACTCCAGTTTGACATCACATACCTGGGCAGCGCTTCACAAGAACGACTTCACTGTCAGGAAAAATATTGTGTTTTTTTAATTCCACAAGATCTCCTGTTATGGTATCTTATTACACTCCAAATATGAAACAAAATACGAATGTGTAAAAAAAAAAAGCACATTATGACCAGGGTTTAGCAGATGATCTGTGATCCTGTGGGCTCGTTTCTCTTTAAAACAACTTTCAGATTTAAACATTAAATATAAATGAAGCAGATTCTACCAGAAAACTGAAAATTGGCCACAATATGATCTGTTGGCAGGAAAATTATCCATAACATTTGGTCAAATCGAGCCAGAAATACTTCAGACACAAATCATCTTTCTCCCATGAACATTAGGGGTACAAATAATGGTGCAATGAGTGAGTTTGTCTCAAAACAATTATTTTTTAAGATGTTTTTTTGTCACTGCATAAATGTATTCAAATTGAATGTTACTTTTTTAAAAATTAAATTTGAGATTATTACAGAAAAAGGACGTTTTTAAAAATGATTTCCCCAAATATTTGTCAGGGGTGCCAACAACTCTGCTTGATGTACGATAATAGTCACGTGCAGTGCTGAAAATGTAAATGAGATATTGGTGGCGCTTTCAATTCACAATGCTTTAATATTTTCACAAGTGTCGTATTTTAATTTCCTCTTCATATCAAGTTTCTTCAGCATTAGAAAAATTGCACTGAAATATAAAACTTTCAAATGACCATTGACCTACACCTTTGAATAGCATGTGTCAAATCATTACAATATATGGAACTGGGTGACTGTAGAAATGGCAACAATTTAACATCATAGAAGAGGCATTTAAATGATCACAGAAAGAAGCCACAGTTATGGTAGCTGGCTTTGTAGCTGCATGACATCAAGATCATTGCTCAGAAATTCACTGGCACAAACAGCATCTGATGAAAGAAAAAAAAAGCTATCATTTAAAACAAATTGCTTTCTTGTTATTAGGCGTCATTGCAAATTGCTTAAGTTGCCTTGCACTGCAATTTATATTATTTCCATTTTTTCATGTTAACACGTCTTTTTTTTTTTTCTTTTCGCAATTAATATCAGATTCAAAACATAATTAGGTCTGAGGATGAGAATGTAAGAAAAGGAATGCACAATCTGTGTATAACTGTGTCAGACATGTATTTTCCCCCTTCACAGTCACTGAGAAATCAATGTTAAGAACTAAGCTGAGGCATCAAAGACCAACAGCTTATCTGACCTGCATAGAGCCCCACTGTGGGGTATAATGCAGCATTGTACACCAATTACTTAAAGACCCATTCATGCAGACACGAAGTAAATGCATAGGACCGTACGATAAGGGTGTGGGGTAAGATACCATTTACATTACTGCCTTCAGCCTTTAAGACTAAACAACTTACACAAATATAAAGATACTGACAGAAGGAGAGAAAAAAACATCAGATGAAAGTCTTTCAGATTAGAGAAATGCAAACCAAATGATGTTTTTTATTACCTCCATTGCCTCCTTTGTTGCTCCATAAAAATAGTGTTGCCAAAAATAAAAGGTAAAATAATTTATTAGTTTGGTCCAAGGAAAAACTCCAGTGTCAGACATTCATTTGTTTGACTTCAATACTCTGTGTTTTGTAATTCCATAAGTAGAATCATCAGCAAAGCCCCATTTTAATGCACAACATGTCTTTTCTTTTGAAAAATTAGCATTGGAATGAGCCCTTGCAGAGACGAGTCAGGCAACTGCTGTAATGCATTACTAAATTAGCCCTAAACACTACACAAGCCATTAAGAAGCATGTCAAAAACCTACAGGGAGAATACAAAATGCAACCAATGACAGAAAATAAAATTTTAGCAACAGTTGTTATTAGACTGCATGTCACCTTTGCCAGTTGAACCAGTGGATAATCATAAACATGTTCAGATGCGCTACAAAAAAAAAAAAAAAAAAAACCGGCACCGTCTAAAAAAAAACAAAGTTGCGCCAGCAAACACAGAGTTAATCCTTAGCTGCAGAAATTCACTGCAGTCCAAAAGCATTTGGCTGATAGCTACCAAACACCATGATTTATCCTGGCTATTTTGCTGCTATAGGACAAATGTTTATGTCTATTGTTATTTAACTAATGCTTTTTTTTTGTTGTTGTTCCTTAGTTAGGGAATTCCATTTTATTGCATATTATATTTGGCACGGTAAAAACAGGAGTTTGCATGTTGAATTGCAATTATAAACTGGTGCCTTTATGAAGAGTTTTACTTTTCCCTAAGTGGGGTGAAAAAAAAAGAAACTAAATGCCTCTTTACTTACATTAGACAATACCACTCTCTACTTTCAGTCAGAAAAGCAAATTATGTTATTATTTTTTTTTTAAATAGAAGTCATCAGATATTAGAAAATAGTTTCAAATTACTTTTCTTTCTTGATATATTCTGCTTTTTTTTTAAACCAATGTCTGGCTGGAGTTTCAGTCATATATATTTTTCATATTTATATATTTATGTATAGGCATATACAAGAATAAAAGTCTGTTTTGCACTTCTGTACAAAAGAAAGTTGACATTTTGCTCTTTGTGCATTATATTGCATGGACTGGTGAGCAGATTTGAGAACAGAGGATTGGACCGAGTCATAAATAGATCCACAGGAAGTGTAATTCAGATTTGGGTCTCTTGAACTTTCTCCTTGCCGTGAGAGGTCATTATGACATAGGGATCAGCAATGATGCTGATGTGGCTGTGGTGCTGTCTGACTGAGCGATGGAGAGAGTTGTTCTGGGTCCAGTGAGCCCCATAGCTCCCTTGTCGGGATGACGAGGAAGAAGACACATATCCAGGTTTAAATGTGTTGCTGTTGTGTTCCACTAAAGTTGGCAGTACCAAACCTGTTTCGTCAGAGCCACTAGATCCAGATGTAGGTGGTGGAACAGGTGGAACCTCTTCCTCCATTTGTATGATTTCTATGGTCCTGGCTGCAGCCACAGTACTTCTCTGCTGATGCCTCTTACGCAGTTTATAGAATGCTATCAACATGGCGGCTGCCAGCAACGTAACAGCTACAAAACAGCCAATGATGATTTTTGTGGTTTTCATCATCTCATCCAGACTGGCAGGTGGCCCACTAGGGACTCTGGCTGTAGGAATTGACACCTGCCTTGGAGTTTGGGTATTTTGGAACAGCACAGTTGGTGTGGAGATGAAAACAGGTTGAAAAACAGAGGGTGAAGCGGGTAAAGTGGGCTTGGGCTTAGGTGTTTCTTCCACTGTGGGCTCTAACACTTCCACTGTGACAGTTGTAAAGTAGGATAGGTTAGAAGTGTTAAGTTCAGCATTGCTGACATTGAGATAGGCAGAAGCATTGGAATTGCCTGCCATGTTGCTCACCATGCAAGTGTAGACTCCGGTGTCTGAAGGGAGAACATTGGAAAAGTTGAGTGTCCCATCATTGAGAACAGATATCCTTGGATGAGCTGAGCTATGGGTTAACACAGTCCCATTGGGGAGAAGCCATCGGACAGAGCTCATTGCTGCTGTACGACACTTCATTTCCGCCACCCTTGCAGCAGAAATGTTTAGATCTCTTGGAGCATCGAGTATGACTGGCGCTGAACACTGAAACGTTGTTTGATCAACTTCCACTAAGTATCTTCCTCTCATCTGGACTGGAGTGTGGCAGCGTCCACAACAGGTGGAGTTTGTGGGAATATTTTCTCTGAGCCACCAGGAAAGCCAAACTACATCACAATCACAGCGCCAAGGATTATGGTGTAGATGTAGCTCCACCAGGTACTGTAGAGGGGTGAACAGGTTATGGGGAAGGGACGATAAATTATTATGGGCCAGATTCAACTCCACCAAAGCAGTGATGTCATCGAATGCATTCCTCTCAATGATGGTAATGGCAGAGTTCATAATCCAAAGTTTACGCAAATTCTTCAGCCCACGGAAGGCCCCGGGCTTTAGCTCTGGGAAAACGTTTTCAGAAATCTCCAACTCCTCCAGTCCCAAGAGAGGTGACAAATTTGGAAACTCCCTCAAACTGCACATCCCTAAATTCAGGTACTTGAGGTTATGAAGACCCTCAAAAGCCCCTTCAGAGATGTACTCCAACTTCCTCAACTCTCCCAGGTCTAGTCTCATGAGTGAGGGAACTCGGTTAAAGGCATAAGAGGGAATGCTCTCAATTGGATTGTTTCTGAGCCAAAGCTCTCTCAGTTTTGAAAGATACTCAAAAGCTCCACTTGGTATGACTGTTAGTCTGTTGTCAAACAACTCCAGGGTATTGAGGCTAGTCAAACCATTAAAAGCCCCCACTTCAATCTGCCTGATTGCATTTCTGCCCAACTGCAACACCTCCAGATGATGCAAATGTCTGAAGGTGTCTGCTTGTATGGTCTCTATGCTGTTCTCCATCAGGTTCAGGTACCTGGTGTTGGCTGGGATGTTCGGAGGAACCCTGATCAGGCCTCTGCGGGTGCATACCACCTTGCTGAGCTGGTTAGTGCAGGAGCAAACACCTGGACAGTTCTGTGGGATTGTGGAACCCAACTCCGGCCCTGTGGACTGGCACATACTGAGAGCAGGCACCATGAGGGAAACCACGGCTAGCAGGGCTGTGTTCCAGGTAGACTGCACATTAACCTGGGCCAACGGACTCATGGTGTGGAGGGCTCATTATTCTGCATGGTGGGGGGAGACGGGACACACCGAAGGACAGACCACCCTAGCCTGGCTGGAGCAGCTCAAGGCTCCCAAGTTCCATCGACAGTGCAGGAAGATGCTGCATCGACATTTTTGTGTGAAGGAATGGAGGGGGAAACAGGCAGAAAAAGAATGAAAGGTTATTCTAAGAAAAGCAGCTGAGAAAAAGCAGATCAGCAATGAAACAATAAGGCTGAGCAACAACAATACTAACTTACCTCATTAGTTTAAAGGTGCTCCATTTTCCCAAAAGTTAAAAGCAACAGCCATGAGTCATATTAACTGAGAAGTCCTTTCCATCAAATGACAGAAGATAAATTCTCTCTTGTCCCCGTCTTTTGAAAAAGTGATGCCACTCTTTTTTGTTGTTGTTGTTGTTGTTTTTTAGCCAAGGATATAAAATGTCTTCTTAAATTTAAAAACAAAAACCAGCTAAGAAAACACTGAGAGCAAAAGGTAAGGCCATGAAATCTTAGCAGGTGCTTAGATCCTTTCTTCCTCCACTGACTCCCCTCCTGCCAGGCTGCAGATTCCAAAATGCTGCTCCACCATGGATAAATCACAATGATCCATTACGTAGCTGATTGCCACAGAGGAGCAGGAAAGATGGGACTAACTGAAATTAAAGAAAAAAATCCCCCTCTCTGTCATCTCCTGGTACATGTGTTGGCTCGTTGGTTGGTTGCCTGTTTGGGTGAGAGACCTCCCTTACTGTGACTTTGCCAAGGGCTTGTCGGTCGCTGATTAGCCCTGTTGTGACAGAGAGTGGGAGACAAAAAAAGACTAAAGAACTCCCGGCACAGTCATCACCCTTTTCGCTCATCCTCTGCTTTCCTCTTGCTTCCTCCCAATGTTGGGCTGGCCCCGGTCAGAGCAGCTGCATGCTGCCGTGTGCACAGTTAGCAGTAATCCGTCTATTCCTCCTGGGGGGAAGGGGGTAGAGGGTGGTGGGAGAGATGGTGGCGGTGTGTGGAGGGTTGGGGGGCGGTGGGGGGATACGCTGCACTGTCGGAGCTTTGCAAAAGGCTGACGGAAGAGAGAGGGAAAAAGAGAGAGAGAACACACTTGTCCTCTCCTGCAACAAGAGAGAAGCGAAAAGATGACGCTGGGAGGACAACAGTGGAAGTGGGTTCCGTGTCTGTATCCATAAACAAGGAAAAAAAATGTTGGGAATTCTCTTCTTCGCTTTTTGTTTTGTCCCATGGACGGTCTCCTGCAGTGTCCTTCTGATGCCGTTTTTTTTTTTTTTTTTTTTGTTATTTCTTTCTCCGGGGCTGAGGTAGTAAGTTGTGGCTGTTAGCCATGTGTGTGTGGCTGTCAGACTTGACGCTGGCTGGTGGACTGCTGCAGTAGTCGGAGTAGCACAGAGAGAGAGAGAGAGAGAGAGAGAGAAAGAGAGCGCATGTGGAGCTTAAAAGAAAAGGAGAGGAAGAATCGCTGATAGATTAAGAGCAAAAGAAAGATAGAGTGTGCAAAGCAGAGTTTGCGAGGGAGAGATGGAAAGCCACGCGAGCACTCTCATAGCCAGCCCACCGTCACAGAAACAGCAGGAGCAGCATTCTTATCCTCATCTCTTTTTCTTGTTTATTCTCTCCAATCTCTCTCTTTTCTCTGCCCCCCCTTCCCCCCCAGTCCAATGTGTGTCGGTGTTGCAGGCAGCTAAGATGCTCGCTCTGCCCCCTCCCTTTGTCCTTCAGTGGGAACGTGAATGTACTGCTGACGCACTCCTCTCAGCTGCTCAGCCAGCCTAAGAGCAGTGCATTGGTTTGATGCAGTGTTCCTGTGTATTAACACATTCAGCCTCCCCATCTCTCCCTCTCCCTCCCTTCACTGTAAGTATCTTCACCTCTCTTTCTCTCCCCCCCCCCCCCCCCCCCCCCCCCCCCCCCTCCTCCCCCCCTCCCCCCCCCCCCCCCTTTTCC